GGGGGGAAATCAAGGGCATGAGAAGTGCTGGCTAAGGGAAAGAGGAAAGGGAAAAGAGAGGGTCTGATTCCTCCCCAGCCAGGAGCACTGGTTGGAGCCCTTCGGGTAGAAAGTGCACATTTTTCTGTTTCTTTGCAGGAAGCATTTGCTGGCCATCACTTGGGGCCAGAACTCTGCGTTACCAAGTGGAATACACCACTGCTCAGACTTCTGAATTCCTCTCCTATACAGTAAAGGTGTCTGGCCCACCCTCCTGGCCCCTCAGCCATTCCAGAGTACAGTGCACCTTGCAAATCTTGGGGATACACCAGAGATTTTCAAAAATATTTAAAAAAAGAAACCCAATAACTTGGAGGCAAAGCTAGGAGAACTTTTCTCTATAGAGCTGTGCAAATGGAGACCAGTCAATGTTACCAACTGGTCTGCAGGGCAGTTTTCAAAAGGACTCTGCTTCAGACTTTAATCTGCCTACACTGATTTAGAGCCTAAAACAGCACTTTTCAAAAGGAGTCACAAACCATTAATGGGATGTGAAATCACATGGATTCAGCTGATTTTTTTAATGGAACAGAATGAACAGCATAAAACAGGAAATACTAGAGTACATTTTTGATAATAAGACTAAACATTATTTTATGAAGCTAGTTTCCATTTATACACACCTATGTCTCACTATCTAAATCTATTTGGTTCCTAAGCAATCACACATATAACAAGAGATTCTATACGATTATGCTTCAAGTGGGTTGCCATATAAATGTATTTTTTTTAATTGCAGATCAGGTTGTGGAGGAGGTAGGGATTGAAAGTCACTAGCCTAAAGAAACTACAATTAAGTGGAATGAAAATTTTTTTAAAAATTTGATTCCAAAATAATTTAACACTCTTCTTCTTTTCCCTAATTACCTTTTATTTGGTTTCCCTGAATGTGTATGTGTATGTGTGTGTGTGTGTGTGTGTGTGTGTGTGTGTGTGTGTGTGTGTGTGTGAATACATCTAGTTTTATCACAAACATTTTTAAATTTCGAACAACAGACAGGATCAAAGGTAGGAAGTAACTGAAAACAAGACAAGACATGGGTTTGGGTTCCCAGGGCCAAATCTCCACCACAGATCAGGGCAGGCCGAATCCTGCCCTCCTTGTGCCAAACCACTGGACAGAGTCTGGACCAGACGCAGACTCCCTTCTCCCTTGACAGAGCCATTAAAATGCCAATTTCTCAAATCACTGGGCAAAGGACCAACCGCTCTCTAAGATATGGAGCCCTGAATGGGATCATGGCCAACTCATATTTTTAAATAGAATTGAATTTGTTGGTGTACCATGACTTTTGTAAACTTTTTGACAAACTGTATAAATGAAGCAACATTTTCAAGTGTAAGTTTTGAAAAATTGAATCAGTTGCCCTGATACTCATAAATAATCCTCCTCACCCCCACCCCTCACCTTCATCCTGAAAGAAAGAGTTATCACATCTGCTCTGCTCTAAATGGCTACATGTAGACCATTGCTGCCATCACCACCCAGGGGCTTCCTGAAATTTCCAAACACATCTTCAGGGTGCATTGCCCTAATGGTTACATGTCCAATCTTCTTGAATTCAGGAGATCCCTGAACTTACAACAGGTATTTATAATAGAAGAAGGCCTACTCACAAATTCACTTAATCTAGTGGGGATTGTCTGTACCCTGGAACTAACAGCACTGGCACTACACAACATCTGGGGCATTGTTCTCTCAGCATCTTAATGATGACTGTGCTATTAATGAATTAAATGTTTCTGCCTTCCAGTCAGGCAGATTTGGCCCAAGACAGAGTCAAGAGAGTAAAGACTTGAAACCAGTTGTTTCAACTTTATCACTAGTGCCGGAAGGAAGAGGGCTTCTGTCACTCAGTCAGTACCTACGATTATCACTGTGTTGCACTCTCTGGCTTCATAGATTCTTAGTAATTGTACCTGTAACACAAGTTGCTTTATGTGTAGGTTTATTTTTTTAAAATAACTTTGATTGTGAAGTGATAATATTTATCAAAGTCTCAACCAAACGGAGTAAGCATGCATCTCGCCAACACTGCCATCTACAGAGAACTTACCTAATGCACGAGTACCGAAAAACAGCAAAAGTAAGAATTTTTCATTTTTCTCAAAACGTTTCAATTCTGTGATTGTCAAGGTATCCAAACAACTAGGTAGCTAAGCGCACGAGAGTCTTAGCAATATAGAACTGATTTAATCTGTCCTCCAAAATATAACACCCATCTTTTTTGGAAAAAAATCAGAATTCCTTAGGTTTTCCCTATGAACTCTACCATCCCATATATATGTACAACTGGTAGTTTACTTTCTTTGTAACCACTTTCCCATTCCTCAAATTAAGTAATGTTTTTATGTTTCCTGATGGCGAAGCTTATTCATAAAAATTAGCATGTGCTGATGATAAGTCAGAGCCAATTAAAGGCATACTGGGTAAAGGTTACTCAGAAAGCAGTTAGATCTGGTGGTGGGACAGTCCCTGCAGCACCATCATCCACTTCCTCTACTAGGTGGCAGTTTCTAAAATGCCAAGTAGACAATTTTAGGATTACCTCTTTAATCAGAAGTTTACACTGCTCCACTTGCAGCTCAACATAAAATTTGATAGGTTTAAGCCTAAGAAGGAGGCATTTCGTTTTCAACTGACTAGTGAATGCACACAGCAGCAGATATTCAGAGGAACACTGAAAAATGTCACATCAGGGTGCTTATAAATACATTATCCAACGCTCGAATATTTGGAACATTTTTAAACAGTAACAAACTACTAAATTTGCATTCAGTTCTGCCTTTCTTATACACCTCCACCTCATGAGTCATTAATAGTAGTGACAAGTTGGGGGGAAAGGGTGATCCTTACACCTTTCCACTAAGTACTGACATCCAGAATGCTGTGGTCTCCGGTGGCATAAAAAAAGAAATAGGCTGTTAGCTAAACTCTTTACAGCAAAAAGAGAATGAGAAATGAAACTGCAAAGAAGCAGTAAGGACAGACGCTTCCACTGCCAACAGTTGAAACTGCTCCTTCAGATTCCCTGTCATAAAAGGCCTGGGTCTAAAGTGAGGGTTGACAAGAACTCTCCTCAGTTAGGGATAACAGGAAGGAAAGAAGGCGAAGGGAAGGAAGGGCAATGGGTGAGAATATGAGGACCTAGGGCATCATCCACATGGCAGAACTCCTACCTGTTTGGATCTTCAGAGGAGGGAGGAGGGACATTCCTGCGAGCCCAGGGAGGTGGCTTTTTCATACATAATTTAAATAAATCACTCCAGGACCTGGCCCTGGGAAGCGCAGCAGAACTCTGCTAATTGCCACTCACTGCCTAGACCCCAAGTGCCGCTCGTCTCTAAAGCGACGCTGGTCCATTCTTCTGCCGTCAACTCTTTTAAAGGACTCATGCCCCCCTCTTCGTTCGGAACAGACTTTGCAGGGAAGCTAGTGTTTGAGTTTAATTTCTAGTGCCGCTTGCTTTGGAAAGCTCCCTGAGGGGAAGGGGGGGACGAGTCTAAGTTAATAATTCCGTCATGATTTGGAGGAGCACCCACCGCTCCCACCCCCACCCCCCAAAAATAACTAGACAAACAGGACCCCCTGGCAAGCTATAATCCCGAGCAAAGACACCCACTGGGAAAGCCGGGCCCACGTGCGGTGGGAGCTGCTACCCGAGGCAAGAGGCAGCCGGCGAGGGGGAGGCAGGGGGGCGGGGAGCCGGGCTGCTGCTCGCGGCTGCACCGGCCTGAGCGCCCTCGGGGAGACCCGACTCCCACCCGCACGGCGCTTAGTTTTCTCCCAGACACTGGGCAGGGAGGCATCGAAGGGCTGGGAGGCCGGGTTCCACGTCCCCGCGAAAGGGGACAG